ATATTTTAACTCTAAAAACGCGTTCATTTGAGTAGTTGGATTAGTGTCTTGTGCATTTTTAGTTTAGGGTTCTCTCTCTCTCTATTTTTTTTATTTTTTATTTTTTTTGTACTTTATAAGAGTGTAAAATATAATATTTTCCCCTTTTAATTAGTATGGTCTTGTGCATTTTTGGTTTATTTTTGTTTTGTTTAAAAAAGAGAGAGTATATTTGTTATTTTATAGTTTTTACTTGAGAAATGGATTAAAATGATGATTTTCAAAATAAAATGTGAAAATAATGATGAAAATGTCAAAAAATAAAAGGAATAGACGTTTTGTACAATAATATTAAAAGGTTGGGACATTTTATGCTAAATGCCCTTTTAATAATTTATTTGGTCTTATTCACAATTTTAAAAAAGTTTGAGAGTATGATTGTAATTTTTTATTTAATTTTTCTTTTTTTTTTTTAAATAGGAAAGTATATTTATCATTTTACATGAAAATTTATGAAAATGATGATTTTCGCAATGAAAGGTAAAGGAAGAGGTGAAAATGTCAAAAAATGAAAGGTATAGACATTTTGCACATTAACATTGAAAGGTGGGGACTTTTCACAATAACATTGAATGGTAAAGATAATTTGTGCTAATTACTCTTTCCTCTAATATTTTTTTTAACTCTCCTCTAATCTTAAGAAATCTGGTACTTCTCCATTGAGTTTTGGCGATTTTGCTGCGAACTCGGCACTGAGTGTGTTGATACTTGTGACTCGTACTGAGTTTTGGTGAGTTAAGTTGACTCACTATGATTGCTCGACTTACTATTGAGTTTCTACTGGGTCAGTGTGACTCTTTGGGGTTTCTTGCACTAACTGGAGCCTTGTGTTCACTTTTGGTATTCTTGAACTCCACCCTTCTTTTTGAAATTTTGAGATTTCAAACTCTGGTGTAAAGCTCTCAACACTTATTTTTCTAGTATTATCAAATTATCTGTTGGTCAATTCCTGACTTGGTTATTAAGATAAGTAATCTATCATTAATTTTCTTTGTCCAAAATCTCCTTCGGTTATTAGGAATCTGAGGGAGTAACAGATCAAGGGAGTAACGCTCCTTAAACCTGACAAATTGATTTTCATATTTCTTGATAATTGTTTGACGACTTTAATCATCATTCGGTTGTTATAGATTTTGTATATTTGCCTTACTTGAATTGTATAACCTGGTTCATAGTACTATTGAACTTGTATGATAAGTAGGCTTGGATATTTTTCTTTAATCTATTCTGATACTTGGACACACTGTGACTTTATCACATTACTTGAATCATTTACAATCTGTATGTTTTATAATTTTGTTGTTGTGATCTTATCTTTTAATATGACTACTGCACAAAAATTTGAAGTCGAAATTTGGAATGGTACTAGGGACTTTGGTCTTTGGAGCCAAAAAATGAGAGTTCTCCTATTACAATAGAGATGTGAGATGTGCTGCTGCCTTTGATGGCATATGGGTTATTGAAATTAGTGCCTATAAGAGACAAGAATTGGATGAGGTTGCTTGACTTTATTTTTCTTTACTTATCTAACATTAGGAAAGTGGGTGAAACCACCACAGCTCAAACACTTTGGACTAACTTAGAAACACTTTACCTAAGTAAGACTATGTCAAATAAATGCTGCCTATTGAGAAAATTCTATAACTTTATTTTTGACTCTTCCTCTAGCTTAGAAGAAGATATTGATAATTTCACAAAACTTATTCAAGATCTGTCTATTTGTGATGAAGAGTTATTTGATGACCAACAAGTTGTTCCTATGTTAAATTCAATAAGTGAACAATATAGAGACATTAAAAATGCCTTGGAATGTGGGAGAGAAGACCTTACCATTGATATCATTATCTTAGCCTTGAGAAATAGAGAACTTGAACTAAAATCTAAGTTCAAAAATTCTAAAACTGGAGAAGGGCTCCACATTAAAGAAAAGCTAGTATAGAATAAGACAAATAATTTGTGTAATTACAACTTTTATAGGAGAGGGAAACCAGAATATTAGATTTAAAGATAAAAATAAGTTTTAAATGAAATCCAAGAACCAAGTCAAGAAATGCTATTATTGTAGAAAAACTTGTCACTTCATAAAAGATTATTTTAAGAAAATATCTTATATGAAGGATAGGAACAACTTTGATGGATCTACAGCAGTCATGTGCAGAAGTGGATCTGATATACAAGGAAATGTTCTTGTCAGTACAACCAAAAGAAATCCAAAAGAATGGGTTCCAGACTCTGACTATATTTTCCATGTGTTCCATAAAGGAATGGTTTACTGAATTTGTTGATCTCAATGGGGGACAAGTTCAGATTAAAAATGACCAGAGTTGTTAGATAAAAGGAATTGGTAAACTTAACCTTTTCTGGAAAATAATCATTCTTGAATTGAATGACACTAGATATGTGCCTGAACTACAAAAAAATCTAATTTCCTTAGGTGGATTAGATGAAGAATATGACATAAGAATTCATAAAGGTTTTACAAAGCTAAATCTTGGTGGTAAAGTTATTCTTTCCTCTCCTAAGATTAATGGAATTTACACCTTATAGGCTGGACCTTTAGTAGGTCACAACTTGTAGTTGTAAGTTCTAGTACTGATGTATCTCTAATTTGACATAAGAGACCGGGCCACGTCAATGAAAAGGGATTACTAATTTTAAACAAACTTATATGTTTTGGAAATGATAATGTTAAGCTGGAGTTTTGTGAAGACTGTATTATTGTAAAACAAAACGAATTATCATTTAAATCTGGAATTCATAAATCTAGCTCTATTTTGGAGTATTTAGATGTTGATTTATGGGGTCCAGCATTCGTAAATACACTAAGGGTGTGTTTAATTGACAATATTTTTCATGAAAATGTATTTTTTCCACCAAAATTTCTACTTTTGTATTGTTTGATTACCATTTTTCTAAAGAAAATATTTTCCTATTTTTGGTCATATGCTTATATATTCCTCAAAATCAAGGAAAATATTTTCTTTAAAAAGAGTAGGATTTTACTTTCTAGGGAATTCACTCTCTCGTCTATCCACTCTATCTCGTTTATCCACCAATAAAAAATGGACAAGTATAATATTTTCTAGGTTAAAAATTAAATCAATCAAATACATTTAATTGACAAATTCTATTGCCTAGAATTTATTTTTTTCTCATACAAATTTCATGTTTGCAATCAAACGCACCCTAAGTAAATTTAAATTCTACCTATTTATAGTAGATGATTTTCAAAGAAAAACATGGACTTTTCTTTTCAAACACAAATTTGATACTTTTCAAAACTTTCACGTAATGGAAATTGATTATTAAAAATCAAACTAACAAAAGAGTCAATGCACTTGGAACAGACTATGGCCTTGAATTCCGTAATTTTGAATTTGATTCATTTTGTAAAGAATTTAGAATTCTAAGGCACAGAATTGTGACATAATCCCCTTAGCAAAATGAAGTGGCTGAGATGATGAATAGAACTTTATTGGATAAAGTCAGGTGCATGTTACTTACTTCTGGTCTCCCTAAATTTTTTTGGGGTGAAGCTTAAAAATTGCTACTTATCATATAAATGGATGTCCATCCAGTGCTATTGATTTTCAAGTCCTTGAAAATTGTGATATGGTAAGACATCAGGTTATACTAAACTGAAAGTTTTTGGTTGCACTGCTGCTCTCATCAAAGTGAAGGCAAGCATAAATCTAGATCTATAAATTTATTTATTTATTTATTTGCAATGGAGAGGAAACCAAATGTTATAGACTATGGGTAAAGAGTCGAAATGGGTTCAAGGTCATTATCAGTAAAAATTTCATTTTTAATGTAAATGATCCCCCTTGTAATACTTCACCAAAGTTGAAACCTCCTGGAACAGCCCTTGTTAATGAAATTGTATTGAAAAATCAAGGAGAAATCCCTACCGATTCCAATGATTTGATTGAGGTGGAATCTACTCAATTTGAAATAAATTCTAAGTAAATTGAATTTGAAAATGAAGTAGAATCTCAAGATACTTCTCTTGCAGACTATCAACTTACTAGAGATAAGAATATAAGGAATAGATTCCTTCTGTTAGAATTAGTAATGATGATTTTGTAAGTCTATTTTTTGCACTTGATTTCCTAAATTCTAAATCAAGTACCTCTGAAGAGGCCACTAACTATTCTAAATCAACCATTTAGAAAAAAGCCATGAAAGATGAAAAGATTCTTTGATTAAAAACAAAACTTGGATTTTGGTTGATAAACCTACAAACCAAAAGGCAGTTGATTGTAAATGGATTTTTCAAATAAAAGAAGGAGATTTTAATGTAAATAATAGAAGATACAAAACAAGACTTGCGGCTAAAGGGTTTTCCCAAATAGAAGGAATTGATTATAATGAAATATTTTCCCCACTTGCTAAATACATCTTGATTAGAGTTTTGCTAGCTTTGACTGCTCATTTTAACTGGAAGTTGAATCAACTTAATTTCAAAACTGTTTTTCTTAATGGTGACATTGATGAAGAAATTTATACAAGTCAATCAAAGGGGATTGAAGTAAGTTCAAAATCTAAAAAGGTATGCATGTTTAAGAAGTTTCTTTATGGCATGAAACAAGCCCCAAAACAGTGGTATAAGAAATTTAAATCATATGTTCAAGGTTTGATTAAGAGCAATTTTAATTCATATTTCAAAGGGTCAAAAGGACCTCAATCTGTGTATTTATTACTATATATTGATGACATATTGCTTGCTTGCCATGATAGATCTAAAATAGATTCAATTAAGTCAAAATTGAAATCTGAATTTAAAATGAAAGATCTAGGACAAGCTAAAAGAATTCTTGGGATGAAGATAAAAATGGATAGGAACAATTGCATTCTATATTTGAACCAATGCTCTTATGTGCTTAAAATACTTGAAAAGTTTGCCAAGCTTGAATGTAAATCTGTTTCATTGCCTATTGCTAATCATTTCAAATTGTCAAATGAACAGTCATCTAAAACTGAGGATGAATTTGTAAGAATGAAAAATATACCTTATGCTAATGATATACGGTCTATTATGTTTCTTATGATGAGCACTAGACCTAATTTAGCTTATGACATAAGCATTCTTAGAAAATTTATGGTAAACCTAGTTGAAACACACTGGCTAGCCAATAAATGGATGCTAAGCTATTTGAAAGGTTCATCTGACTTAGGTCTAAAATTTAAAAGATGCAATGAGAGCATAACTCTTAAAAGATACACTGATTCTAATTTTGCTGGAGATTTAGATAAAAGAAGATCCACATCCTATATTTTTACTTTGTGTGATGTTGTGTCGGTTGGAAATCTTGATTACAAAAACTTGTAGCCCTATTTTCCATAGAGGCAGAATATATTGCTACCTGTGATACTGTTAAAAAAGATCTTTGGTTAAGGGGTTTGTTAAATGAAATTGGGTTCAAAAGTGAAATGGTTAGAACTACATTGATAATCAAAGTGCTATTCATTTAAGCAAAAATCATAAGAACAAAACATGTTAATATAAAGTTTCAATTTGTGAGGAATATGGTTGAGAAAAATCTATTTAGTCTTGTAAAAATCCCTATTGAGTACAATCCTTTTAATCTTGGAATCAAAGTACTGCATTTAAGTAATTTTAAAACCTGCTCGAAGATTATAAATAGCACTTAAAATGTGTGAATTTAGAATATCAAGCTGTAACGTTTTAATTCTTTACTAAATTTGGTTATTTTCTATTTACAGGTAAATAAGAGCAAATGAAACAAAGTGATTTCTGGGTTCAGTAGTTCATAACAAGCATAGTTCAACAAGGTAGAGATTGCTGAATTTGGAATGCCTCACTATTATTGGCATTGGGCTATCATATTTGTAATTGGGTTGCTAAAATTGGACTTCTGGGTTTTGATAAATCGTATCTTATAATGCGGCTTTGCCTCTCTTTATTGATGAGATCTAGCTCTACACATGGCTATTTCTCAATTGTTGGATTTGAATAATTCTTGGGTGACTTTTTAAATATAAAAATGCGTTCATTTGAGTAGTTGGATTAGTGCGGTTTTGTGCATTTTGATTTTGGGTTTCTCTCTGGTTTTTGTTACTTCTTCTTCTTTGTGATTCAATCTCTATTTTTCTTTGTGAAGGATTCTTGATTGTATTTAGTGTACAAATTGTGAGATTGTAAGGAGTATAGTTTGTTATAATATAGAGATGCGAGAGAAAAGATGTAGTGAAGAAACTTTGATTTCTTCATACATTTGTATATACTCTTGGTTGATTCTATTGTATCTGAAGCGTAAGTTACTTTGTATATGCTCAACGTGGTGATTAAGTCTATTGGCTGAATATCGGGGCCTGGTAGCGAAAAATCCTTGTGTTCTTGCCCTTTTTAGTTTCTACAATTTTATTCTTGCCAATGTTTTTGGATTCCAAACCTATTATCTTTGCTGTTTTGGCATCAACACCGATAATTTCTAGTTAAATNGACTATTTTCTGAATAAGATAAGCAATGTAAAAACGGACTCACCTGGATTGTCTGCCCTAAATCTGATGGCAACCCAACCATTATTAGGAATACCCACTGTTGTTTGCTGAGGAGGGTCTATAAGATTATATCTTGAGGGATCCCTTTTGGGATCAAAGTTCCCAAAACCCCAACCAACAACATAGAAACTGTAACCATGTAAATGCATTGGATGATTGTCACTTGCTAGCACATTAGTCCCCTGCAATATCAGCTCCACACTAGAATTGTATTCCAAAACCAAAGCCCGGGTTCCGAAATCCGGTGTCAGAAGATTATCCGGCAAATGATAGCCTGTATAATCAAATTTATGAGGAGGCTTTCTTGGAAAGTTCTTGTCAAACACACCCTGAATTTGATAATAGTATGCTTGAAGAATATCACTTGATGGGAAGACAAAACTGATGTTATTCAAACTAGCTGAAAACCTTTTACCAAAAGGACCATTGCATGGTTTTCCAGTGCAATTAAGCAAATTGACAGCTACTGTGAAAAACAAATGTGTGTCTGTTTCTAAAGGGACTTCGATCGAGTGCTCTTTGCTGGCTAGGCTTCTTAGTTTCTCTGTAAATTCTGTTGATTTCAGTGTCCCATTATATGGAGGGAGCGATGGGAGAAAGGGATCCGACGAGAAAAGGTTGAAACCATTTTGCTTATACTGTAAAATCCCTGTTGTGGTAGAATTATCGAAACCGGCCCCAAATGCAGGTGAATATGATCTAGCTGCCATGTAGTAGAGATTGGGAGATTGATTTGCTTTAAGTAAAATATCCATGGATTGTCCTGGAGTGATCATAATGTAATCTGTGTCAAATGGTTTTGTATAGAATCCATCTATTCCTACTACCGTGAGTTTGTGTTTTGCAATGGAAAAGAAGAGATTTTCATCCATTACTGCACTGACTATCCTAAGAAGGTATGTTTTTCCACGCATTACTTCCATTCTAAATGTTCCTGCGGCAAAAATGGAGATAAATTCAGGCTTATGAGAAAGTAATTATTTTGAGATAATTAATTTATTTTATATGGGAAAACAGAATACCTTCTTTGGAGCATGGATAAAAATCACCTGGTTGCCCATTAATGGTATAAGCGTCTGATAATATTGGTTCTCCTCCTGTCTTATTTGCATTTCCTACTATGTCCATCACATTTTTCTTCCACCATTCCCCTGTAAACGAAGAAGATTCAACGATAACAAACTACATCACGTTTCCAAAAATTTAAGGTCAATCTCATGAGTCATTTTGTGACATTGTTAAGTCAGTTTGAAATCTTTTGCTGCCATAACAGGCCATGTATAATAATTATGAATGACGAAGAAGTTGATTTTACAATTTGTATTTCTTCTGTCAGAACAGAAAATCACTCTTAAACCTGGCCTGTTTAAGTGATCATATGCGCAGAAGCTAAAACTTGCAATGTGAGATTAGAGTCGTAACAGTGTCTTCCCAGTTAAAAAATAAAATAAAATAAAATAAATCTTCATAATGATAAGATATCGTCTAGTTTCAAGCTTGAACTGTTAAAGAGATCAATATTTCTAGTCAATATTACCTAGAATAATTGGAACTTCTTCATCGGGCTTGAGGAAAGGATAAACAGTTCCTTGCTGAGGATAAACGATGACCATTCCATGAACAGTTGCTCGTGCCCACCCGCTGTGTGCATGCCACCATATTGTTCCTTCTTCTGTAGTCAACTGAATTCTGTAAGTATATTTCTGCCCCGGCCTGATAGGGCACTGGTTTATATATTCAGCACCATCTGACCATGGATTCCTAAGTTGTTTCACTCCATGCCTGAAAATACTCGAAAACAATGAATTTATTATTTCTTTCACAAAATTATAATATTAAAATTCATCATGACATTTCTTTTCCTACATTCTGTGGAGTCTTATTTAGATGAGCGTAGAAGTGTATAACGAGCCAAGCCAGAGGTGAGCCGCTTGCAAGCTAGTCAGCTCGTGTGTGAACCGGCTTGCCAAGTTAAGAGAGCATGCAATTTTAGTTAAAAAAAAAAAAAAATTTATTGCGAACTGCGGAGCAGTCGCGAGCCGATTCTGGTAGCTCAACTAATTAAGGGATGAGCTCGTGGAGTAAACGAGCGGCACTTT